GTTGTAATGAAGAAAAAACAAATACTTTAATATGCAAACAGCATTATGTGAGCTATAGTTAGATGAAGAGGCTAGAACACTATAATATATGGATTATGTAAGGAGGGTCTGCTCTGAACACAAAGACTGTACAAAGCTTTATATGATGTTTCTTCTTCCTGGACTACTTTTATGCAGGGCACAAAGAAATGTTACCACATCCAATGCTGAAACCATTTTCAAGATAACATGTTTCATAGGTGTATAATACAGTGCATAAAATGTTTCTAACAGTTCAAAAATCTTCTTTCCCCTATTTTATTATGATGTAAAAAACTCCTAGGAAACAAGGTCATGAGGTGCAGGACAAATTCCTTGAATATCACTGTTTTTAGTGACACTGCAGAGGTTAATAGGACAAATCAAGTCAAGTGGCCTTGAGTCAATAAAAGCAAACAGTCTTAAATGGGACAGCCTGAAAGATAACAGGATCTTTTTTGAGGGCCCCCTCCCTGCGAGGACAAGATGAGTATGGCAGACTTTGATCTTATGTGCAGAAACAGTGAAAAGCCCACTGAGCTACTCTGGGAGGGTGTGCACATGCCGGTTCCAGAATCACTCTGTGCACTTAAAAGCTTATATAATTATCAAATAAAATGTTTTAACACACCAAAGCATCCATTATTTATAATTCTAAGTTTGTCTGTGGAGACTGTGCTGGTCTTGAATGGAGACCCAGTACTCATTACTTGTGTATTCCTGTCATCAGCGATGCTCTCACCTGGCTTTCATGCCTGGTTTAACTTCCACCGTTTTGTCGGAGCTCGCCACCACCCGCACAAACACCTCTCCTGCCTCTGGGTGGTTTTGCCTCTTCAAGTATTTATTCACACGGTCTTCTATGTACATTCCCAAGCGTGTCGACTGAAGCCCTACAGAGAAAAATACAGCAGAAATGTAAAAATCGTCACTTCTATTGCAAAACTTTCCAGGATGAAAGAAACCAAAGGGTTACATTAGGTTGCAGTCTTCAAGTTAAGCAAATAAGAAAAGCACTAGAAATGATGCTTACGACCAGGCCATAAATTTCACAATGTGAAGGGCAAGGCCACTTGGCTGGGCACCAAGGCCGACAGACAAATGACATGTTGTAAACTATGTATGTGCATATGTACGCAGCCTGAGCAGTAGCATTACAAACTATGGTTTGGTCGATGTGTTCACCATATAAATGAGGCATAGTGGTTTAAATTGCAGATGATTATAAACCATTTAAGGGGGGAAAAAAGAGTAATATTTCATGCCGCTGCAGTGGCAATAGTAGTACCTGTATACCTTTATTATAACTTGTGTAGTACAAATTTGGACTCCATGGTATACCAAGCTGTTAACACCTGATCCAGCTGTCAGTCTGCTGATGTTGCTTAAGATTAAAAGGAATCAGATGCATTAGGACAAATCTGAGGAAATGACGTCTAATTTCTCTTAAGTACTCTTAACGAGTGCAATGGTTTTATGCTTCTGGCATCATGCTGAGTAAATTGACCAGCATCACTTCTGGCACAGCGAAAAGTAAAATTAATGGCTGCCTATTAAGCTTTTAGTTTTGTTTTCATTTAAAATTATAATAAAGGTCACTTTAACACAATGCTCTCATTTTACAGTTCAACTTCTACGCACTCAAACTGTACATTAAATGACTTGTTAACCATATGACAACAGGTGTATATACACAAATCAGTACAGCTGAACAAGCATATGCAATATTTCAGAAAGGGAAAACTACCTTTCAACACTACATGCAATGTTCTACAGCCTCTGAGTTTTCTTACAACTTACAGTATAGAATCAGATATCGCAACCCTCAAACTGCTTACCCAGCAACACTAGAAGAAACCTCACAGACTTTGTAATGTCACATGTAGGACCGCTAGCTTGACTGATACACACTCTGCTAAAAATAGCACACAGATATAGCAATGCAAGGCACAGAGGTACACCAAGAGTTTGTAAAAATGCTGATGTTACCATGCAGTGTTAAAGAGTGAATACTATTAAATTCTCCAACATACTGTGCCAACTAAAATGTTACTACCATGGAGGTTTTACGAGGAGTGCCCCTGACGTCAATAACACAGACCGATGTGAGTGACTGAACATGAACAAATGAACGACTTGGTGATCATTTACTGAGATCACTCATCAGATGTGACAGAGTTAAGAGCTCCGTCGCATCTGATGAAGGCACACTGGCCACCGTGGCTGTTTAAGTCCAACAAATGCAGAGGGGCTTCACGGTCAAATGCAAGGGCAATGACGGCCATGAAATTTATACCCTGGTTACGATGGTAATGGTGATATATGCGAGTCCCTGAGAGCAGCAATCTGTTAGCACCATTTGCTGTAAAGGTCAGATACATTCTCCAGGGTTGCAAACATCAAAGAATACTGGTCAAACCACAAGGCTAACCACCAAAACTGCAAGGCTGGCACAGCAGGAAAACCACTGAGAAATGTGGCCCATGTGGAGATGGAGGCACAGTACATTATCTTGTGTATTCAGCACTTGTGAGACAAAAGTGCAATAATCTGTTGACATTGTGAAGACTACACAAACCCTACAAGGAAAGCTGGTTCAAGGGCCTGCAACTGAAGAATATGAATACAAAGAAGAATACTAACTTTTGGCTGAGAACTTGTTTTCCTTCCTTGTTTTTCCACTCTTCTTCAAACAGTTGTCACAGATGAACCTGGAATGAGAAAGATATTAGTTGAGATTTATTGTTAAAATTAACACATAAAACATGCCAAAAAAGTTTGTCTAAGAGTGAGTTTGTCAACTCACCCAGATGGCCAAATGACCTCGTAGTGTAAGACGCATATCTGGTGCATCTTCCGTCCGCAATCTTTACATTCAACAAACCTGATGAAAAGCAAACATATAAGAGACTTGAGACATTACCACACAGACCGTAGGCCAAATGCTCAAACTGTAAATTATAGAAGTACTACATTAAAGGCAACCGGACGGTCCGCTGCTCTGCTCTAACATGGATAACTGAGAATTTTCATGCATACAAAGCACCAATGCAAAAAACATTGTTCCAGTTCTCAAAATAGGCCAAGTAATGTTTTGGATGGCCACCATGTGTCCGAATGTTGATGATAACTGCTCAGACAGCAAGTAACACAAACACCTCCATTCAACATAATGTTCCTCTAGTCGTTAAGCACTTATAAGCCAGCCAATGCAAGTACGCCTCTGTGGGAGGTTTAGGGCTGTTTCTAATTCAACACTAGGTTACAATGAAAGAGGTTATAAACCTCAACGGAATCTGGCTAAATTAAAAAAATGAGAATGTGTTATTGTATATACAGCCTTTGTTCTCTCATGAAAAAAAACTCATCGAACAGATTTAGAAGTGACACTGGGCAGGCGGTGCTGCTGAGTTGCCCCGAGGCTTCACTGAAGCCAGAGTGACTGATCAGAGAGCTGCGGAAAGAAAATATGCAGACCATGTGCCATATGCACGAAACCAAAGCCAGATGGGGTTACAGAAAATAACTTTTGAAGATGTGATCCAGGATGCAGAAGCAGGAAGAGGCAGTAAAATGATAATTTAACACAAATTAAACTAACTTCTGGAAACGAACCACAACTGTCAGCGCTGGTACCTCTCACTAGCGTGGAGTTTGTGTTGACTTACGGTTCAGGGTCGAGAACATCGTTCTTCTTCCGCTCAAACTGGTCTTTTGATATCATCCTGAAGTATCGGGAAAAGAAATGGGAGACTAAGTAAGAAAATCAGTTTTTCAATACTCAGCTCTGTGCGTTTCTCATTGCTGGCCGAGTCATTGCAGCAATTTACACACCATACTAAAATAAATGGCCTTGAATGTCAATGTGTGGGCATGTGGGTTGTTGTTCAGTGCCACAAACACATACTGAGCATCTGAGCAAAGCCACTGATACAATGTTTGGAAAATACACGGTCCATTGGATCTGAAATAAAAGCCCAATAAAAGGCTGAGTAGTGACTTCTAAGAACTACGCCTACATCTTGGATTAACATGTAAACAAGGTGTTACCAACAACATGATTCAAACAGCTGGAAACATTTTTCACTGGGTATAAAAAGTAAAATTCATTTGCTTAGGTTTTTAAATAGTAAAAAACATGAGAAAGACAATATATGACCTACATGGTTTTGTATCTGATCTCGTTCTCTGATCTGAACATGGTTAAGCAAGAGGGACATTTCTCTTTGTGCTAAAATAAACAAGTTCCAGAAACAATAAAAAGGACAGGAAGATTTTCTCAGTCTATTTCTAAACAAGCACAACTTGAGTTTTTCATTTTTATTTATTTTTTTTGAACACTAGGTTTTATCAGTCCGTTTACTTACGTTTGTGGCTGTGCTGGATCATCTCCTAACGTCACACTCTCCCCCGGGATCTCATTGAAGCACTTCTCACAGAAATGATACCTGCAAAAGTACACATTCAACATTCAGCACAGTCGACATTAGACATGTAGCTGAAGGAAATTTTAAATGCAGCTCTTAATGTCCTTTATGTCATACTGAAATTTAGTAGTCACCACTTGCTTATGTGTTCAGTGCAAACAAACAAAATGCCACTTATTTTTTATGTTTTGTAACGGAGAGCGGAGAATCCTTGAGCTCCCACTGAGTGTAAATGGACCACGCTGCAGGAGCCTCATGCTGTCTGTCAGGCCCTGCTGTATCATTACTGCTGCTGCTCTGCTCTCAAAGTGCCCAGTCAGTGTGTGAAAAAAAGGGCTGCAGTTACACAGTTTATACAGCAGGTGGTGCAAGGACACGTGCTGGAAACTACTCTACAGGCTTTTAACCCAGAGGTAAAGGCAATAATGGGCAATGCTGTTTGTGGCCTTGTCTAAAGCATTATATTTTCATCTGTCACACAAGAGAGGGGGCAGGAACAGTGAATTCACTCAGTCCCCTGACAGATGCAAAAAGGAAAACCAAACACACTGCTTTGCTCCTTTCAGTGTCTGACACTCTTCTGGGTTTAGGTTCTTAAGAGTGTTTTCTTTTATGTGCACTGCTGGAACCTGGATGTTAATAAATGCTGTTGTGAGCAAATCCATTTTGTTGTCTCATGCCATGCCAGGACTGGAAGGCAGAGCTATTAAAACTGTAGCTGTCAGGATGACAGCACTGCCTGGATCACAGTGGTCCCTCTAGCACTATAGAGGAACAGCTCCCAGGCTGCAGGGGATGGTAATGGGCTGCATTTAGTGCCCATCAAAACAGTTCAGAAGCAATTGTGCATGCAAATGTGTGAGATGTATGAGATGATTCAGTTAAAATTCCACCCAGTGTAATATTATTTCATACCCAATACAAAGTTCACAGCCCCCCTAAGTGCAAATATATACACTGATACAAGCAGGCACACACACACACACACACACACACACACACACCTGTTCTGATAACTGTAGTATGTGCCTCCAGTAGGTATGGTGCAGAGCTGCTTGCCATAGCAACACAGGGTCTGAGGGGAGAACTCGTACTGCAGACACAAGTGAGATGACAAAGGAAATCAAAACACATGAAACTAAATCATTCAATTTCTCTTTTCTATTAGGACTAGGTAAACCAACTGGTCAGAGTTAGTACTTATACTTTAACTCTTTTGTTTAGAAGTGGATTTTGTAGGGCTGTACCCGACTAAGGATTTTTTTTTAGTCAACTCTTCAGTGCGACTATTCATTGTTTTTCCTTTTCATATATTTTTTAAAATATATAGCCTAAGAAAGTCACTTTCGGTTTTTTCCCGTTTAGGGGTCGGCATAGCGAGTAGGCACAGCGAATCATCACACTGACGACTCGCATGTTGACAATTGGCACGTGTTTTACGCCGGATGCCCTTCCTGACGCAACCCTGACTCGAACCCGGGCCATAGCGCTGCGCCTTAACCACTAGCCTACCAGGGACGGCTATAGAGCCTAAACTGTCAGAAAATCAATGGGCATGAATATCACTGATAATTTTGGCCACATTAACATGGTATTTAAATGCAAAAGTGACAGAAGCATATTTCTGAGCATTTAAAAATCAAACATTTAAAACAGCTGCAAATTATGTAATATTTAAACTGTGACCTATTTAAATTGGTGATAGGTCTGGATCCCATATGGATTTGTAGGAATAAAGACACAGGTGGCACACTTGTATTTCTGTTGAAACAATGATATTATAGGCTATTTTTTCTTCTGAGACATGGTTATTTATAGCCTAGTTTACCAACACGTTTAAGCTTCTCCTGTCAGTTAATCAAGGTGCATGTTGTGCGTTTAATGCATGCCAGCTTGCACTGCGAACGATTGCCCCCATTTCTAATTCCTTACTGAAATGTTTTCTCAGCTCATTTTGGTTAACTTTCTAGACCCATTTGGATGGGTGCATGTCGTAGTAACAGTCAGTAAACGGTTGTGCATTGCACCTTAATGAAGATGGGTAAACAAACCGGACTCACGTAACATTAGGCTATGCAAAACCAGCTACATCATCACGACTGCCTTTTCTCTTGTAAAAGCAGATCATGATGTTTGAAAACACTTCTAATAAAGTACATATCTCACCTTTATGTAGCTTGTCCTTCTCCAAAATGAGGAGAAGATGACGACAAACTACCAGCTGGTGCTACCTTCTATTGTGATGCACACTGGCTGACAAAAAAAATAAAATAAAACAAAGGCTCGACTTGAAGAGTCTCAGTCGACTGACAGGTCTATTCGACTGTTATGGGGCAGCCCTAGAAGTCTGCCTTGTTTTCAGCGCCAGGCAATGTGAACAAAACTATATCCCTCACACTGATACTTTTTCGGTCTTTCCTACTTCATTTACTGCATCTTCAACTTCCCTGGAGTCCCTGAAGTGAAGCTTCTCCATCTCACCTTCCTCCCGCAGCAGTAGCCCAGGCTTTGCATGACAGGGTCGATCTCTGACTCAAACACCTCGGCCAGTTTGGAACAATACTTGTAGACACGTGACGTCTTGCGGTTGTAGAGCCAAGCATTGTTGAACATCAGCCAGACATCGTCAACGTACTGCCAGGGCTCTTGGTATTGGCCCGTGTCGAGCTTACGCTTTATTGTGGATAGATCTATTGGGTTCTTAACAATGTCAAAGTAGTCCTAGAGAGAGGAGGACGATACAAAGTCTGAGTGCAAAACCCCAAAATGACAAAAGAGCAGTACTGAATTATCTGCTTCAACCAAAATAAGTAATAAATAAGGATTTGTTTTGGTGCGAAAACGTGTGCTACGTACCGGGATACCCAGAAGCATGGGATCCACTGGTTGTCTGAAGGGCAAGGACTCAGGATCCTGCCTGTAGAGAGACTCCAACGTCGGCATCAGAGCCTGGCGCAACTCCTCAGGCTTAAAGACTGAAAAATGAAAAGTAAAGTTAAATGTTAGAGACAAATGTCCATCTCTAACAGAACAAAAAAACCTGTCTTGTCCCCCCTCACATAATTTTGGGATAAAATGCTAAATTTTCTTAATGACAGTAATGTTTAGTCTGACACACCCCACTAAGCAAGTACAGCAGGTTAGTGCAGGCTGAATCTGATCTCTACTCTTCCCATGACTGAGCAAGACTTTTGATTATTTCTCAACTGCTCCTTGCCCACAAATCAAAGGCCTTGAAGCAGGTATTGTGAGTCCACTGTGAAAGTGATGACCGTCCCCAGTTGGCACAACATGGGTGTATAAAAACTAAAGGCCGTGATGAAAAACCCTCTGTGATTATTGAGTGACTTTTTTCTATCAGTCACACACACAACAGGTTTTATTATCCCCTTGGTTTCAAACTCACTTTTTCTCCGTGATTGAGAGGGCGATGAGGACGTTGTGCTGTTGGCCCCACCCTCCTCCTCTTCTTTCAGTTCTGTCTTGATTTCTGGCTTTTTCTCCTCTACCTCCATTGGCTCCGGCTTTTCCTCCGACTCCTCCTTTTTCACCAGCATTGAAGCAGAGTCATCCTCAGTCTACAGACAAATGGCTCATTGTAACACAGTCATGTTTTAAACACACAGGGCTTCAACGAACGATGGCAAAATGTTTTCCTTTTTATTTGTTAGCTGTCTGCTTGTGTGACACTTATGTGCGCATCCCTGCGGAAACTGCTTTGACTCCACGTGACAATATGCTGCAGTGTTCACACATGAAACTAAGGTTTAGTCCTCATTCAACAGGTGTCATGATTTATTCCACAGTTTGATGCTGACAGCAGACAAGATGAAATTGGCTCATTAACCTTGACAGCAGGGAGTAAGAAGAATGTTTAAAATCAACACAAAAAACTTCAAGCATCAATGTTACATCTTCAAACACATCTACAATACCAGATGAAAAGTATATGAACTGATGATCAAATGTGGATGGAGCATACAAAATTAAGATGTCAGGTCAAGCTACATAAGCTATATTTTATTTTATTTTAAAAACATGGGGTGGATAATTCATTGGCAATTGGCATTTGGACCACAGTATATACAGTTGTTACAAGCAGACGAGCTTGTGAGAATTCAGAAAGTTACACAAGTTGTAAGATGCACAACACCCAATGAAGACATTCAGAGGCTGTTTGACCATTTGGCAAACACCTAGTGCTTTTAGTGGTCGCTTAGTTTGATCATGCAGCTCCAACTAACCTCCATCTTGGGCTCAGTTTTGCCGCCAGCGGCCTCAAACTCCGGCTGATGATCATGGTGAGTCTCTGTTTTGACCTCCTGAACTGGCAGGTCCGCTCCGACATGCTGTGAGTGCAGGTCAGCGCTGGCAGCTGAGGCCGGCGTGGGCACCCGGTTATCCAGACTGGCTCCGGGTTGAGACAGCTGAAATGCAGAGGGAGGGATGGATATAGAGAAAGAAAAAAAAATAAGGTATTTGCAACAGCATTACTGCTGTTGTGCATGCAGGGCTGAGGCTATGACACAGATGAGCACCTCCCATATTCATTCCACTGTTTCCTAAAAAAGAAATGTGACATTCCCACTGTGACTGATGCTACAAACAGTGATGAAGATGTAGTAGTGAGACAGAAAGGTAGATGTGGATGGGGCAGGTTGGTACATGGCAGTCAGAGGGATGGGAGCTTGCAGGGGAGGGGGTGGGTGGGTGGTTCAGAGTGGAGGACATGCGAAGGGTCTCAGGCTCACCGGCGTGGTAGGGGGCTGAGGCGGGGGCTGGG